CATGCATACATTAAAAGCACTGTTTTTGAAGTTAATGCAAGTAAATACAGCAATTCCTTTTTCAATATTTAGGCAGATCATCAATGTGAGCTAGCCAAACGTGGGCAGAACATTACAGGGAACGTTTAAAGGTCTGATAACTTGAAATAGTTTTTAGGAGAATTCATCTATTTAGACTTTTTAAAATGCCTGCCATATGAAATTGAAATGGTAGAATGGCTGACCATGGCAGTGATTGGTCCTCCTTAAGGGCCTGACTGAATTTTTGGTCTAATAACGCATGCTAGTGTTGATGTTTTTTGGTCAAGAGGGTATGAACAGGAAGAATTATGCAGCAGGCTTTATTTTAATGCAGATTCACATTACTCTGTTCAAGCTGCGTGGAGATGTTAAACTGGCTTACTGTAGACTTTGTAAAATGGCTCCAGAAGAGTAACAAACAAACCTGAGATCACAGAGGTTGGAAATGTACATAAACTGCACAAGGTTTCAATTCTGCTGTTAAAGTGCAGTTTTAGTCAGTTTTAGTTGCATAGGTTTCCATTGTATTTATAGTCTGTTTATGCTAAATCTGGCCAAAGATAAGTATTGTCCACCAGAAAAATGCCTCTGCCACTTGGAATTTCTGTGCTAACTCTGTGGCCAGAGCAGTTAACAACTAATCTACAGTGGCATAGGAAAATGGCAAAAATCTCCTAAAGTGCAATAGATTTTTTCAAGTGTATTGTGCCTTGTTCTAAAACTTTTATTAAGTAGGTGCACTTGACAGTATTGAGGTCATTTGTTATGGTGCTATTTCAAGTCTAGGTTTAGGCCCTTGTACATTTTGCCCATAACTTTTTACAAAATACTTCTTTTATTGCACATTCAGAGAATTTTATATATGTCTTGTGTGCGTGTCCTTAACTTCCAATCTTATTTTGTCTCTTGGAGATTGAACGCAGCTTGTTTAAGGAGAAGGTAATAGATTCTAAAACTTATTTGGGACCACGGGAATGATAGCTGGGAAGAAAACTATTTGCACACGACAGATTTCTAGATACTTTTTGCTGCTAGTTTTGTGTAATATTTATTGAACATTTTTGACAAATATTTATTTTTGTAAGCCTAAAAGTGATTCTTTGAAAGTTTAAAGAAACTTGACCAAAAGACAGTACAAAAACACTGGCACTTGAATGTTGAATGTCACCGTATGCGTGAAATTATATATTTCGGGGTAGTGTGAGCTTTTAATGTTTAAGTCATATTAAACTCTTAAGTCAAATTAAGCAGACCCGGCATTGGCAGTGTAGCCATAATAACTTTCTGATAGTAAAACAAAAATTGGCAACTTAAAATTAAACATGCCAAGGTTTTGATACACTTGTCTTAAGATATTAATGAAACACTTCTAAACACTGATGTGAAGTGTCCAGATTCTCAGATGTTTGTTGCGTGAGTTTTGTTTAGTTGTGTGTTTTTTTTTTCAGTGAATGTCTGGCACATTGCAATCCTCAAACATGTGGTTATCTTTGTTGTATTGGCATAATCAGTGACTTGTGCATTTTAGCAAGTTTTATCAGCCAGCAATATTTTTCAGTTCAGATACAAGGATTCAAAACAATATGCAAGAATGGATTTAAACTTGCTGAATGTGAAAATTGAACTTCAAGTCACTGTAGGTTTAGAATTGCTTATTGTATTAGTTTAGATGCTAGCACTGCATGTGCTGTGCATATTCTTGATTTTATTAAAATAAAAAAGTTGAACTGCACAGTCTACTCATTTGTGAAGCGTCACTCTTCTGGTTTCCAAGATCTGTAGCCCAAGTAGTCTCATTCACATGCCACTCTGGAAGCAGGTGAATCTAGTGTGGTACGCATCAGTGTGCTTAGAAATGGCAGCTAGGCTTAGGGCTGTAGCTGTAGCAGCCTTAAAATAAGGGGTGCTCTGTAGTGTTAGATACTTGTACAGGTGTTTTAGAGAAGCTAATAAAGTCGAGCTGGGACAGATGAGGAGACCACCTTCTAACCGTTTTCCCTAAGGGTACCAAGTTTGGCTGCAACAGCATAATTTATTGAACTTGCACTCAGACTTGATTCCTCAGCCACTTAATATTAAGGGCCTCATCTCACAGCTGTGTCTCTGAGCTTAGCCTTGTAGTTGAGCTTTAATTTGGACATCTTGCCTGTCGATTGCTGCTAGGCAGCCTCATTGAAAACAAGCATTTGCAATTCTGTGGGGAAAATAGCAGTGCCTGGCCTCTTCCCTCCTTCCAGAAAGTTTGCCCCTTCTTCCCTCCAGTTAGTTTTGAATTAGTTTTCTAAAAGCTAGGCTATAGGACTGAGGTGTAAGTAGTCCAGAATGAGGCTAAGTATTGGAATATCCAAGGGGATACAGCAGAAGGAATAGGTTCAGATGCTTCCAATCTATCTTGAAGCTAAACAAAAGTATTTCCTCATCTAGAAGAACGTGATTTAGAGCCAAGATGTAAAGTGTTGAAATGACACGGGGAACTGGTGAATTCCCTGTGAGACAGTGACGCCACAAACTGATCTGCGAAAGTGCCGTAGATACATGGTACGGGTTGAAGACTGGTAGAGGTGTGATGAGGAAATACAGTCCTAGATTCCTATACTGCGCCTAAAGGAATCTGCTCATTGGCAGTGTATCAAGTAGGGAAATGTGTATGGGCTTTGAAGAACCATGGTGAGGAGATCAGCATGCTTACCAGGATAGCTTGCTGGAGGATCTGCTTTTAGCACACTGAATGTGGACCACACTAAATTTACCTGCTTTAGACTTGTGCCAATTATCAACCTCATCATGCAGGGCTTTGTGTTGTCATGCTATGTCCCTGGATGTGCAACAAGCACTTGAGTAGCTTCCAAAAGCTCTTAACCTGGCAGTTTTTCCCTCCTGCATAATGTGTAGCTAAACTCATAGAAACATGGAACTGCAGTTAGGAGAGGGTGAAGCGCTGTGTGTTGTGGAGGTGGCCCATGGGATCTGGCAGTCAAGCCCTCAAGGATAAAGGCTTACACTTGATGCTTGAGCATGAGGTTTGTTCCTGGTGAAGACTGTGGCAGGAGTCATGGGGCAGCTGAAATGACAGGAGCCAGGCCTGTGAGCAGTGCTCTCTGCATCCTGAGGATAGTGGAGGGGTTAGGGAGCTCTGAAAACCAAAGGGGGAAGCCTGCTGCTCATGTGTGGCAGAAGGGCTTAGGAAAGTTCTCTTTCATTGAGGCTGGAGGAAGCAATTTGCCTCTGGTGGTATGAGGCTGAAACTAGGTCACTGGGGGAATGGCAGGTGTGAGGAGTGTTAGGACACCTAAAGTGCTGTGGTGAGAGAAGCACAGGAGCGTGTTCCCACAGAGGTGGGAGTTTGTACTGGGCAGCATAATGTTTCTTAGGATAAACGCAGAAAGAGAACTTGGGAATGGGTAGAGAAAATAAATCCTAAATTGTAAGGTAAAGAAAAAGGGCTGTCAAGTTAAATGGTGAAAATCATTAATGATTTGTCTTTGTTTGTGAATCTGCGTTGTATCAGCCCTTACACAATAAACGGCTGCATGCGCCAGCAGTGGCAGAGGTTACAGTGAAAGGCTGTAGGAAAACCTACTCGTTTCTGCCAGTAAGATTAGTGTAATTTGTGGAGATAAGTGGTGTTGAGACAACATCCATTTGACTACGGTGACAAGGGGTGGGAGGGATTTAGATTAACGTCCTATTGTGGATTCTCATAAAGGTTGAGAGAGCAGTGGGGTTACTGGAGGGTTTTGGTTACTGTTTTGTTGGGTGCAAGTACGAAATCTAGGCAATGATTGAGTACAGGAAAGGTGACTTGCGCAAGCAGGATGCTGCTGAGGCTTTCACCATGGCAATCAAACAAAAGTTGCGCTGTACCTCATTAAAACTGTGTGTCTGTAGCTGCCTGAGTTTGTGAATCCTCATCAAGTGCAGTGTTCACTGTTGCTCATATTGATCGATGTGTTCCTGAAAGTAACCTGCAGTTAGTTATTACAGCCTACGTCCAATTACAGATCTTAAGTGTTAGCTCTTGTGCTTTGGGGGACAGGAGTAAATGAGAAGTCTGTAGTTTCACTCTTGCTCTGCTGTAGGCTCTTCCACTCCACTGAACGTGGCTAGATGTGCTGGGTTATCACACAATTCAACCTCACAGGGCAGTCACAACTGGATTATTTTTGAGGGGAAGAAGATTGCCAGGAGGTGCTAAAGAGGTGACATAAAATACTGTATGGAACTATCATGGTTACGACCTGGTGTCATACTGGTACAGAGTCTGTCTGTGGTTCTGCCAGCCTCCTAGTTGGTTGGTTGCTTCATTGAATCGTTTGCCTTGTACATAGCACTGCTCCTACGCGGCACTCACGGAGGTACGTCCCTGGAAAATGATCTGTATGATTATCTCCTGTTCACAGAAATATTACTTACCCAGCTGAAGCAACTTGCTGATGGTTAAAACAGCAGGCCTGGGCCAGAGCCAGGACGAGGAGAAGTGTCAGTGGTGGTAGGGCCTGTGTCTGATCAATGACCTTCCATAATGTGGTCCTCCACTGCTACCCTTAGTGCTTTCTTGGCATTACTTATGGAAGGTGTGGAAGGGCTGTCAGTGGTACCTATCTCTTAGGCCTTGCCTGTCCCTTTAGGGTGAGGGTAGAAGGAAATTCTGTTGTGTATTTGGTCATTCAGGGCACTGCATCTCTACAGAGAGTTTTTTGGAAGCAATTGAATCCTGCTCTAAACTGCATTTAAGAATAAGTTCCTTCTTAGTCCTGCCACTTTAGGGGAAATTTACCATGCATGTCTTCTGATTTGTTAGCCAAAATTATTGCTGCTAAAGGAATTGTTCAAACAGATGTTCAGTGTGTTCAGAGCACACATTACACAGTGCTGAATCTGACTGATGATCTGTATAGGTTTCAGTACCGTGACAATGTTAAATTACATTATTTGGTGTGATGAAAACTTTGTTCCCACTACTGTTTTATCCAAGTTAGATTTCTCAGGTGAGACTATGGGCTTTGCAGGGAGGCTAAATTACAATCTGGAGTAAATTGATAGGTCTCTGTTGGTATTATGTACTTAGGTACTCAGTGCCAGAAATGCAACAGCATTGATTTGAGGAGGGACTTGAGTACCAGAGGGTTTTTTCAGTGGTTAAAGGGTTTATCTAATCTCCTTCAGTTGATGACTCAGTGGGAAAGAAATTGTAAGTGAGGAATTTGAAGAGGAAACTGAATAAAGGGTTAGGCAAAGACACAAAGCATCTGTTCCCAGCTGTGCTGCTGCTCTGGGTTGGCTGGGGCCAGGCACATCATCATGTTGCAACTGTTCCCCTTGTCTCTTGTGCATCCTGTCAGCATTAAGACGTAAACTTTTTCAAGCAAAGACTGCAGTGCCCTATCCTACCTCATCTGTCATCTCACCTAGGACTTCTAGTTTTTACTTGAAAACAATAATTTGCAGGTAGATTCCGCTTAAAAAAAAGTCACTGCCCCTATTGGGAGGGCATGAGAGACACCTTAGAATGTTCCTTGATTATTCTACTATGAGAAGACAGGTAAATGATATTTCTGATAACATTTCTCAAGTGATTACTTTTGTGGTTCTTTCTAATCCAACTTCCATTGTTAACTTTGGTTTCTATCTTTTCTGGTAAACACTTCTTTCTTCTTGCAGTCGAAACAAACGTTGCTTCTCCTGGTGCTTGAGATCTCAGAGGCTTATGTGGTTGAAAGTATTTCTCATGAAGCAAGGGAAACAGGCACTTAACGCTATTTACAAAGAAGGAACGGCCAGAAATTAAGTGGACCGGGAGTCATAATTAAAGCTGTTTGTTAACTACCACTTGTGTGCTGAGCTTAGTCAGAGATTAGATTCAGGTTATGGGAAGTGTTCTCTGAAGAAATGTAAAAGCACTTGAAAGCTGAGGACTGGCTTATGAAAACAAAAGTACCTCATTATTGATCTTTTCCAGCTCTCTCCTCTTCATCTGTGTATGGAGAAGATACGCTAGGGACTCTGGGTGAAAAGACTCTATATGCACTTAATTATGTTATTTAAATTGCGTCTGTCTATATCAGCTGGTCCAAAGAAGGATACATCCTCTCCTCACTCCCTAAACAGCTGAGGAATCTGATAATTAGACCACTGTTGAATCACAATGTACTTTATTGACAAAATGGATTAATTCCCACAGGCACTCAAGTAGTTGCCTATTTTATGTGGATAAATTAAAATGATAGCCCCACTGCAACCGCTGGTGCTTCTGCAGTACTTCTCAGGAGTAAGTCTCAGCGTGCTTTAAGGAGGAGGTCAGCCTTGCCAGGAAACTGAGACACAAAGCAGTCAAGCGAGAAGGCAGTGGCCGAGTTGGAATCCAGAAGCCCAGCTCTCCCCTAAGAGAGTTGACCTCGTGTTGCTCTTGTCGTGCAAACATCAACTTCCTTTCATGATAAGCCGGGGAGCTGGGAGCAGCGTGAGGCACCCCGTCTCACCATGGGAACTAACCCTCGGGCGGCAGCCGTTGCCCTTGACTTGGAAGTCGTTACTCTTTTAGCAGTAGCTCCCTGGGAAGCAAAGTTCCCCGTGCAGGGTAAGTCTCGTGGTGGTCATCAGGGTTTTTAAGAGGTGTTTGCTGCTGCTGCCGGTCTGGTCTTCAATTCAGTACCAGAAGTGATGCACCCTTGCTTCCCTTGCTCTAAAACGCTGAGATGTTCTTAAGGGAGTTAACGACAACTTTGAATTATGCTTGACAGGAACGCTCATGACACGGTGGCAGATTTCAGTGTATGCTGCAGTAGAAGACAGCATTCCCATGGCTGGTAGCAAGTAAGGAGTGGAACCCTGCAGCGCTCTGCTGAACTTTCTGGCACAGGCTATGCCATAGGGTTAGGAATGTCTTAGCAAGATGGAAGCTTTAGGATCCTTGGGGTCTCTGGGTCCTCTGGGGGACCTCTGGGTCCTTGCTGATACCTGCTTGAACAAGCGTGCTTAAAGAATATCTACCTGACAACCACACCACCACTTTTCTGGGGCTTTTGCTCCCTCAGTGGAGACTCTTGCTTTTTTACTTCTACTTGCTTTTTTACTTTTTTTTTTTTTACTTCATGCTTTTAAGTTCCAATACCAGACTCTCACTCCCAGGCAAGGAAAGGATCATACTGCTTTGACCGATTCTTCAAATATTCTTAATAAAGGGTGCAACTTGAGTTTAGAAATCTGATCATCTATTACAATACAAGCTCACATGGACAGGCTGTAGCCACCCCTTACATGTTCAGTCCTCCCTCAGGTTCAGTTCTTCAGCTGAAGGCATTGGATCAGAGGTGGAACGTGCAGTAACAGAAACCTTTTAAGAGCAGGTCAGGTGAAGACTTGTCAAGAATTACATGAATATCATTGATTGTGCTTAGGGACAAGGAAGGAGTTTCCACATGGATGGTTCGATTAGAAATGCAAATATTTTTTTTTTAGTGGTGCATAGTTTCCTAGTTATTCTGGCTGTTGAGTGTTTTTGTTTTTCTTCGTGCAATCACCAGATGTTCTGTGATGAGGCATTAGTTCTGTGCTAGGTTTTGCCTCCATCAGTGTTTAGGTGGGGTGTTAAATCGCCAGCCATGAAGTCAGGGACCAGCAGTCACGGCTTTGTGCCATTTGTCTCACTGGCTTAAAAACATTCTTGTTTTCCTTCTGTCTTCCCTGACTACTAAAGTCGCCAGCCATGAAGTCAGGGACCAGCAGCCACGGCTTTGTGCCATTTGTCCCACTGGCTTAAAAACATTCTGTTTTCCTTCTGTCTTCCCTGACTACTAAAACCAGAAACTTGAGTCCCAAAGATCTGTCCTCATCCTTCTTAACCAGGTAACCCTTTTTTTCCTGAGCTCTTCAGGCACCATTTGCAACCTCTACTTGGTTTGGGTACCTTTCAGAGATCCATCTTCTTTTTCCAAAGGCAGAAACTTCCTACTCTTGTTTCCCTTGATGTTCCTGCTCCCAGAGACCTATATCTACTGTACAACATTTTGCCTGAAGTAGACTCTTCGTAGTGTGAAGGCCTCCTTTTAGGGGCAGGTATGACTACAGCTGCACTGCCATTCAGGGTGGCAGATCCATGCCTCCAGATGAAGAGTTTGCAGGGCTGCTCAGGCAGGACCTCATAAGGAATAGGTCCTGTCTGAGCCGCAGGAAGACAGCTCTTCAAGGGTTTTCTCAGCAGAATTATTACTGTAGATTATTTAAACATAGGTCATTGAATTCTTTTAACCCAGAGCAGTAGCTGGCAGAACTGTAAATTGGTGTGGCTGTCAAATTTGTATGTAGCTCTCAAAAATTGCCGTATGAACTACTCGGTATCTGAGTTCTCATGGTTTCAAAAGATATAGCTGTATGTTGAGAAGGGTTTTTTAAAGAATTTTCATTTTTTCAGAAGTATAAAAATGCCAGAATGCAGTGACTGAATAACTTCCAAAATGAGGAAGAAGCTAGTTTATATTTGCATGCTGTTTAATTTTGTTTAGTAGAGCATGCTGTATTATTAAAAATTAGACCTGGACGGAATGATTTTTGTTTTTCCATGGAATCTTTCAACTTTAAAATTTTTTCCTGTCTACCAATACACAGCATAGGATCAAAATAGTAGAATCTTTGATGTAACATTAACTCTGGGTTGTTTGATAACTTCAGGCTACTTGTTGGACTGCTCCCTTTATTAAAAGTTATATTAAAGTGGCTTTTTTAGTTTCTAAATCCTATTCTCAAAATACACTTTTTTAAAAGAATTGCTCAGTTCAGAACCACTTTTCACAATGGCTCCACCTTACAAATGTTTTGTTTTTTTTTTTTTGAATTATCAGCATTTTCTAACAGCCACAGACCACTTTTGTTGAAGAGTTTCTGACTGGCCCTGTCATCATTTCATATCAGTGTGTGACACCATTTTCTGTGTCGCAGCATGACTCAAAATTTTACTGCGTGTCACCAATTCCACCTTCAGTGCTCCATGCTCAGGGCTCGGGGTGTGTGGGTGCCATCTGACAATAAAAACTTGGGGGTGAGCTGCTTCACTCCAGGGAGCAGCAGGGGCACCTGGTGAGGTGAGAAAACCACTGCCAGAAGTTTTGCCTTGTTATTCACTGTATTATTTTGTATATTCATTTTACAAAGTTGGCACCAATTTATGAAAGTGCAGCCTCAGCAGCCTGCGTGGTCAGTGTATGGATTGTAGAGTAGATGTGATTTATAGCCCCATCCTGCTCTCTGAAATGTTGTAGAGAAAACGTCTATTGGATTTCTCCTAACAAAAGTGAATCTTTAAGCTCCAGGTTCTTCTGTCTCCTTTTGTGTACTCTATACAGGGCTGATTCTGCTGAGGCCGACACTGGAGTTACATCATCTCAATTAATGCTCTTGGCTAAGCACTTTTCCGAGCTCGGAGGAGACAGTTGAGGCACTTATTTCCAAAGCATCCTGGCTCTTGGCCTACCTTCACTGCTATTTTCTTGAAAGGAAAGTTTCCTGCTGATGCTAAGTGGGAAGAAAGTTAGTTCAACAGCTCTCACCTCCTCTGATTTGGTGTTCCTGGTGGGCAGCTGAGGACAGTCCTTCCTCCGCTGCTTCGTGAGGCTTAGTTGAGGGACCGGACTTTTTTAAGCCTTGAAGGCAGTGAGTGGTTAGTAGTAGGATTGTTAATTGCTACCATAAATGAGAGTTTTAGAGGTTCTGCCCCAGTCAGGGAGAACTGTGTTTTACTGACAGGGCAGCTCAGCCTTGCTGCAGGAAGCCGTGGCGTAGGCTTTGCCCTTTGACGTCAACAGCAAAGTGGGAATGAGATCAAAGCTTTGGATCTTCCTGCTTCAAAGGCGTGGGAAGAGTGCAACAGATCCCAGTTCTGCATCCTGATCTGCGAGGCTGTGGGGGGCTAAGCTGGGAACGGTGGAGATGGAGATGCTGGCTCGTGGGGGGAGGTAGGAGGGATGGCAGCTGTGTATGTTGGCACTGGTGCAAGCTGGCTGCTGACGCTCGCAGGCTGGCAGGAAGATATGCTTGATCAGCTTTGTGGGTAGAGAAAATGTCCTGGATTAGTTAGTGCTGGCAAGAGCCAAAGTGAGAAAAATACTGTGAGACTGAAGCGGTGGATATGTCTTTCCTGGGTTTTCCATGCAGAGCTTTCCAGAGCCCCCTGCTCACAAGCTACACACCACATTTTTCCTTTGAACATCTTTGTGTGTCACTGAAATGATCCTCTCTTGCTACAGAAGCATCTCGGTTTCCTTCACAATACAGGAGTTGTTTAGCCCTTTAACTTGCGGGTGACTGGTGTTAACCCTTCGTTCCTGTTGTTCCCCCTGAATGTCAGATTTGTGTTCCCTCACGGTGGGAGAGGAAGAAAAGCATGTGGCTGTGGGATGACACCTCCTACCCACCTTGATTTAACCTGTGGTGCTGTCCTCAAAAATAGGTCTGGAGCAGGTTGTACTTTTCCCTTTCTCCCACCAGAAAGTTCCCGTCATGTCACTGTTCTGCTGGGATCACTGAGAGGTCCTTGGAGTGCTGGCCTGGAATAGTGCTGGGCACGGGAGAGCAAGCAAAGCAGCAGCTAAAATTTCGATTTCGATGGGTTTGATGTCTTTTCTTCTTGTACGTTGTGTCGCCAGTGACTTTCAGAGCACATTTTCAAGTACGCTGGGCAGCTTGCCTGCAAGATAAAGTAACAGTATTAATAAAGGAGCAGGGAGGATGGAAAAATGTCCAGGTTTTTCCAGACCAAACTGGAAAAGAAGCATATAGGGAATAAGGAAATAGTGATCTCAGTGCAATAGAGAAGGCTGTCAGACCTAGTGGGGTGATTGCTGATTGGCAAGAGCCATTAAGAGTGGAGTACATTAGTGTCAGAACGTTTCCATCCCATGTTGCTTCATCTCCACATCCCAACTGGTAGAGGATGCATGTTCACATTGTGAAGTGCCAGTAACCCAGGCTAGAGAGGAGGCAGGCTTATCCTAGCTGACTTAAATAATGTAAAACTACTGTCCTTCAGTGGAAAACACTAAAAATCCCAGGGATAGTGCTCAAGCATCAGATGAGAAATTAATTCAATTTCTAACCCAGTATAGCCAATAGTGAGATTAATTTATGCTTCAAGTTCTAACATTAATCTTTAATTTAGCTCAATGCCTCTTCATCTAGCTGAGAGAGCTCAGCATCTCCTGACTCTGCTGTTTTGATCAAAGATGCTGTTCTTCAAGAGCTGTAACACCCTCCCCCTGCTTCCAATCCAGCGTAGCAATCCTAGATACAGGCCTCTACTTATTTTTCATGAACAGGCCTGCTAGTAAAGATATTTGCTGTTAAGCACCTCTTCTTTCTTTTAAAGACAGGGCATGTCTGCAGGAGGGTTGGGAAGCCTTTAGCTGCCCTCCCCTTCGGGCACTTGGCTCCTGTGTGCAGTCGGGTCCCTTGGGCAGCTGCTGGTCACATGAAAGCTCCTCTGCAGAGTCCCCCAACGCAGCCAGGGCTGCAGACAACCCTCGGGTATTTCTGCTCAGCCCACTGCTCGGAGAGCTCAGCCTGTTGCAGACAGGAGACTGCATGGGC